CTAAAAACTACTTCCAAAAACATTCAGCTTTGATATTACTGAGTTTTTTGGGTTCATTGAGAACATGGTTGTTGTTCAATAATAAAATTATTCCTATTATTTCTACATGTTCTTCTATTTTGGACACTGTGGCTCCAGTAAAAACTAAACGCCGTAAAACCTCTCGCCAACTTTGGCTAAATGAATCCACCCTCACTCTTAGACGTGAATGTCGTCGAGCTGAGAGGAGATGGAAAAAAGATCAACTTCAGGTGTCCCTTGACATCCTGCATATGAGTCCGTCTAAATTTCAGAAGGCTGCCAAAATGGCAAAAACTTCTTTTTTGTCAAACATTATTGCGACTAATAGTCACAATCCTCGAGTTCTGTTCAAAATCTTTAACTCAGTGGTTAATCCCTGCTCTGATGTTTCGATGGCTGCCTCCCCGGCCCTCTGCGAAAACTTTCTAAATTATTTTATAGATAAAATCTCAGTGTTAAGGGCCCCACATTCTCCGGTAGTAAATCAAGCCCCAGTTTCTGAATGTTCAATGGTTTTTCAACAGTTTGAACCTGTGTCATTCTCGACTTTAAAGGAAATAATTAATAACCTGAGAAGCTCAAATTCTCTGCATGACATTATTCCTTCTCATATCATTAAGGATGCATTGAATACAATCGGGTCCTGTATCTTATTTTTAATGAACTCATCACTGTCATCTGGCTATGTTCTGACTGTCTTTAAACATGCAGTCGTGCAACCTGTTATCAAGAAAAATAGCCTTGATCTTAACACTCTAGCAAATTACAGGCCGATTTCTAAACTCCCCTTCATGTCAAAAATTTTAGAGAAAATAGTGCTTCAGCAACTACAGACCCACTTAGAGAGAAATGGTATAAGTGATAAATTCCAGTCTGGATTTAGACCGCGTCACAGCACCGAAACTGCCCTACTAAGAGTTTTCAATGACCTTCTTCTAATCGCCGACTCTGGGCGCTCTGCGGTCTTAGTTCTATTGGATTTGACTTCAGCCTTTGACACGGTTGACCATGATATCCTTTTGGCAAGATTGGAACAAGTAGTAGGCCTTAAAGGAAATGTTCTATCATCGTTTAAATCATATTTCTCTGAGAGGTCGTTCTCTGTCATGATAGGAAAATATTCCTCTTCTTCTGCCCTTTTTCGCTGTGGTGTGCCCCAGGGCTCGGTATTGGGTCCTGTGTTGTTTTCTCTGTATATGCTGCCCTTGGGCTCCATTTTTGAAAAACATAATGTCTCTTTTCACTGCTATGCTGATGATATTCAAATCTACCTCCACCTGACTGGGGATGTTTCATCTTCACTACATCCTCTGTTTGATTGTCTGAGCGATGTAAAAGACTGGTTATCACGTAACTTTCTTACTTTAAATGAAAAGAAGACAGAAATTATTGTGTTTGATAGAAATATGCCTCTGGGACAACTGACTGGCACATTCGGGCCTGTTGCTAACCACCTCACTGATGCTGCTAGGAATCTTGGAGTTTTCATGGATAGTTCCTTCAAACTAGATAAACAGGTCTCTACTGTGGTAAAAACCAGCTTTCACCAACTACGCCTAATTTCTAAGGCTAAACCTTATATACCACACAAAGATCTGGAGAAACTCATTCATGCTTTCATCATCACTTCAAGACTGGATTATTGTAATTCTCTCTACTTGGGCCTACAATCTTCTCTTCTTCAGCGTTTGCAGCTGGTCCAAAATGCCGCAGCACTAGAAAGTACGATTCTATCACCCCTGTTCTGGCAAATTTACACTGGCTTCCTATTAAATACCGAATTGATTTTAAAATTTTATTGTTTACTTATAAAATCCTAAACAATATGGCACCTGACTACCTAGCTGATCTCCTCTGTCTGTATAGCCCTCAGAGAGCACTAAGATCATCGGGCCAACTGCCCTTAGTGCAACCTAGGTCTCGTCTGAAGACCAGAGGAGACCGTGCCTTTGCCGTTGCCGCACCCAGGTTATGGAATACTCTTCCTCTTCATATTCACGCATCAGATTCCATTCAGTCTTTTAAATCACGTCTAAAAACGTATTTGTTTAACCTGGCATTCAAGGAGAATTAGGGTAATTTACATCTGGCTTTGCATTTAGATTATGTAATTATTTTATATTTTATTTATATCTGTAATTTATATTTTTATATTGTGATTTTTATCTGTATCATGATTTTACTGGAAAGCACTTTGGTGTACTTCGGTCTTTAAAAATGTGCTATATAAATAAATTTTGATTTTGATTGATTGACTAATTAAAACCAAGAACTGTGTGCATTCATAGATTATCTCCAGTGATCTGTGAGGTTGTACCATATACCTGGTCCTCAAATGGAAGACCTAGCCCTTGACTCTCTAGTGTTTTTATACCATTGATCAATGTTTCCAGTGTAACATCAAAACCGTACTTGTGCAGAGTTTGCATGTGAAAAAGTGATACCAAATGAATGCTATTCAAAACCAAAATAAATTTGGGGGGCAAGTTTCTTATAAATTGGAAATTCTACATTTGGAGCCGAGGGGATTGGCTGTTTCAAAGTCATCATAGCATAGCTGAATTTGTAATGCTTGTCTTTTGGCTGAAAACGAAGAGTGAGTTTTAAAATAACTTCCATCAGAGAAGTCAGTGTAAGTACTAGGTTCTGGTCTACACTCATTTAAGAGCACATAAATGTCTGGATTTCTGCACACTAACCTCAGTGTTTCTAAAATTGGTCCATATATAAAAGTATCACTTACAGTACTTGATCATAAGTACTGGATTTTGCCTGTTGTCATATCTCACTCCCAGTGTTATTTCAGCTGGGTGCTCAACTCCCCATTTTGGTTGAAGTATTTATTTAGTTTCCATTCTGTATTCAGATTTGTGAAAATATTTTCAAATTTGTCAAAAGATTGATTTATCCCAGATATAATGGGATCAGTTACAAGTAAAGCAGAAATGGCAGTACGCTTTGCTTGTGAGTAAATTTCACTTGTTAGTTCGTCCAAGTATCCTACAATTGAGGACACCAAACTATTGGAAATCCCACTCCCCTGTAATTTGGCCACAATGGAGGCACACATTGCACACATGACCACTGTTAAGGTGCTTTCGGAAACCTGCGTATGTCAAGAACTGAAACCTACAGCCTTGCTGAGAACAAAACAATTTTAATTTGGGCCTAGGATATTAACCATGTTCAACTCTTAAATGTGAAATCAACTGCTGATTGTTGGGATACAGTTTCTGATAAATGAAACAAGTCAGCATAGTTTTAACTTCTCACTCCCTGAGTGAGAGCGGTAGTGGCTGGTTAAGCAGTCTGGCCCTCAAATCTTAAATCTGGGTAACTCTCTCATTTTGCCCATATTATTGTTACACAATACACTGTTGTCTGCAGGAATGTGTAAAAATTCTCCAACGTAGCATCATAAGACATATTGAACACAAAATGTGTTTTGAAAAGTTCATCAAATGCCCCAAGGGAGTGGTTTGCATTGTATTGGATGAAATGCTTAGCTATGGTGATATGGACACTGTCAGACTTCCTCTTCTGATGGTCAACAGCGCGGTGGTATGGTTGCCAACCCTGCTGATTACGGAGATGTTCCCCTAAACTGCAGCACGACTAGGCTTAAGATAAGGAAACTCAACATTAGACATGAGAATAACTTGCCGCCAGAGTAAAGTATTTTATGTTATTATTTATATATGGCTACAAAGGTGACATAAATGATTTTAACCACCTTAATAATATGATTACCTCATGAAAGAGTACAAGTCTCCCAATTGCCTTGCATGCACTAATTGCACTAATTTTTTGAGACTTTTGTTCCCCTGGAGATGGTGGAAGTAAATGTACCAGCAACAGCAAGGAAGCCATTTCTTGGTCGTAGGCTGAGGACAATGAGTGACAGGATTAACTGAAAACTCTTGTTCATATTTATGACAAAAATCAGATTAATCTTTCAGCGATTCACTGAACAAACAAATAACATTGAAGGGAAAAAAAACTGTCTCACAGGTGTTCTCATTTCCTAATATTAATCATATGATCGCAAAAATCATGAATGAAGCAGCTGTACCTGAAATTATGGCAAATGCTTCAAAACAAGAAAAAGAAACAACTTACTTGTTGAGTCATCAAGATCACTTCCTGGAGGACTTTCTGCCGACTGCACCAAGTGATGCATCTCTAGTGTCGAAGTGAGCTGCTTAGCTCATCGTCCCATTTCTGAAACAGTCTAGAGGATGTCTCGTCATCAAACAGGTAAATGAAATCTTGTTACACCTTTGGGAGAGAAGATATTAAACAACGTAAATACTTTGAAATGTCAAGCTATTTCAAACATCTCATTTCAAACTCACTAGTCCTTTACTATACAGGAATCTTGGGAAGATAGAGAGGATTTCAGCACTTCTGCCCGTCTCATTAACAAGCTTTTGAAATGCCTCTCTCATCTTCTAGAAAATCAGGCAATTTTCTGTAGTATGATTGAGCAAAGATATTACCTCTTGGCAAGTATCCCCATCAAGCTGCCTGTCAACATTAACAGTCCTTTGGAAATTTGGGCCTCCTGGAAAAAGGTCTACAGAGCTATTCTGTGGCACCGCAGATCTTCGCCAAATTTTTCTTTGAACTGTTTTCAGATGCCAAGAAACGTATCCTGTGCTGCTTGCAGCATCATAGAAGTGTTCCTTAAATTAAGAAAGGTTATCGTCATATTCAGTTCATAGAACTCAGAATTTTGAAATGCAAAAATGACACTTACATAGCCTTTCTTAGAATATGGATTCTTCAGGCAAGGGAACAGCATCACAATACCAAGAGGATACTTCTCTCTGACTGCTTTTGTGGGGAGGTGTCTGAGAGGAGATATTAAATTAGTCATCAAAATGTATGCAGAAAATTGCCACAAATAAAAAGAAACCCTGAAACACATATACCCACATATATACCCACTCACAATCATGTGAGCCACCAGGATGTTAACCATTTGTCCTCTTGTGGCATCAGTTAGCATTTCTGTTGTTTCATACTCTTGTAGTATGTCTTCACCAACAGACTGATTAAACCTGCCTTTCAAGCTCACGCTGACTTCTGACAGTCAGCACAACATTGCCTTGTCCAACAAGGCCCTGACTATTTCCACATCAGCTTCTGTCCCTGTTGCATCCCTGTATATGACTTCTGAATCAGGGGGCACGAAAAATCTCTCAATAACTGTAAGATAAAAATTCATGTGGTTTTGAGGCAGCACTTTGTATAGGTCACTGGTAAAGACTGTCCATTTTAAATGCATTAAGCCACCACTTAGTAACCATTAAATAGGTACATTTCTTCCCTTGCAGAACCTAAACCTTATACTCACCTTATACATATACATATATGTACATATACAATACATGTTTCCTTAATTTACAAAACAGTTTGCTAAAGGCAAGGTTTAAAACAATACAAATCTGCTTCTAAAATTTTTCCCTATCAGAAGCTACAATAAAACTGAACACCTTTTTCGTGGAATTCGAGAAATTCAAACTGTCCTTCCAAGGCATCCAGCTTGATATAGTTCTGCTGCTGGTTGTACTTCACCACCATTTTTACCAAGACATACAAGAAAGTTTGATAAAGAAAATTATGATTTAAAGGGTAAACAGCTGAGATGCCCTGACTGCATTTAAAATGCATGACAAGGTTAGCTAAACAGACCACATACAGAGAGCTTTGTATTGTATCGTCCCTCCACAGAAGACAGAGGCGTTCGGTATTCAGTTTACCGGCTGTTTATTAGGAATGGTAACACAGGCTACTGTGGGCCATAGCCAACGCCAAAACAGAAAAAAGCGCTCCCTGAAGAATCAAAACAATCCCTCTCTCTCCTCTTAAAGTCACGCTCCTTTTTCCCACACACACACACACACACACACACACACACACACACACACACACACACACACACACACACACACACACACACACACTCCATAACTTCCACCCCCCATACACTCTCATCCAACAACAAGCATGTTCTCCTACAGACTCTCTGTCATAGATAGCTGATATGATTGACAAACTTAATAGCCTCTAGACTATTACACCTTCAAGGAGACACTGTGTAAATCACATTGTTGCAGGTGTGGAACAACTATGCCAACACTGTGTGGCAATTCTGGACACAATGACACTGAGAATGCAACAATGAAATTAACTCATAATCCAGTCCTTTACAATTTGTATTTTCGCCAAGCGCTAGCTAGTCATTCTGACACACTAGTGCTGGCACCAAACAAGACTTTGTAACGCACTTATTCTCTGGATATGTTCCCGTCCATGAATCGCTACCTTATTGTGGTGGAGGGGTTTGTGTGGCCCAGGGATCCCAGGGGCTATGTTGTCTGGGAGCTTTTGCCCCCTGATAGGGTCTCCCATGGCAAATTGGTCCTGGGTGAAGGGCCAGACAAAGAGCCTTCAGAAGACCCCTATGAGTAAAAGACCAAGGGTACAGTTCACCCTGTCCAGGATAGGGTTATCGGGGTTCCGCCCTGGAGCCAGGCCTGGAGAGGGTGCCCGAGGGTGAGCGTCTGGATGGGGCCCGGCTGGGCACAGCCCGAAAAAAGTACATCGGCCCATCCTCCTGGAGGCCCACCACCCTCAGGAAGCGTCGTAAGGGTCAGGAGCAATATGTGCTGGGCGGCGGTCAGGAGCAGAGGCCCTGGCGAACTGATCCCCAGCTATCAAGACTAGCAATTGGGACATGAAACATCACCTCTCTGTTGGGGAAGAAGCCTGAGTTAGTGCGTGAGGCTGTGTGTCAGCATCTACCGACAAGATATAGTTGGGCTCACCTCAACGCATGGCTTGGGCTCTGAAACCATTCTCCTGGAGAGGGGCTGGACTCTGTCTCAGTCTGGAATTGGCCATGAGGTCAGCCATAAGTTCCTGAAGGCTCTGTAGAGCTGTAGGGCTGTCTTGGTTGACACGTCTCTGCAATGTTGCATGGAGATCAGGGGTGGTACATCTGGAATGGCAGACCGGCGTGGTGGTTCCCATCTTTAAGAAGGGGGACCAGAGGGTGTTCCAACTATAGGGGGATCACACTCCTCAGCATCCCTGGAAAAGTCTAGGAGAGTCCATCCGTTAGTCGAACCTTGGATACAGGAGGAACAACGTGGTTTTTGTCTTGGTCATGGAACACTGGTCCAGCTCTTTATCCTTTCAAGAATTCTTGAGGATGCATGGGAGTTTGCCCAACCAGTCTACATGTGTTTTGTGGACTTGGAGAATGCATTCGATCATGTCCTACCGGGTGTCCTGTAGGAAGTGTTGCGGGAGTACAGGATGTCTGGCCCACTGCTACAGGCCATTCGATCCTTATACAACTGTTGCAAGAGCTTGGTCCACATAGCCGACAATAAGTTGGACTTGTTCCCAGTAAGTGATGGACTCTGCTAGGGCTGCCCTTTGTCACCGATTCTGTTCGTAATTTTTACAGACAGAATTTCTAGGTGTAGCCAAGTTATGGAAAGCTTTCACTTGGGTGGTCTCAGAATCTCATTTCTGCTTTTTGCAGATGATGTGGTTTTGTTGGCTTCATCAGGTGATGGCCTCCAGCTCACACTGGAACGGTTTGCAGCCGAGTGTGTAGCAGTGGGAATAAGAATCAGCACCTCCAAATCTGAGGCCATGGTCTTCAGCTGGAAAAGGGTGGAGTGCCTACTCCGGGTCAGGGATGAGTTCCTGCCCCAAGTGGAGGAGTTCATGTATCTTAGGGACTTGTTCACAAGTGATGGGAGAAGGGAGCGGATTGGTGTTGCGGCTGCAGTGATGTGGTTGCTGTATTGGTCCGTTGTGGTGAAGAGAGAGCTGAGTGTAAAAGCGAAGTTCTCGATTTACCGGTTGATCTATGTCCCTACCCTCACCTATGGTCTGTGGGTAGTGACCAAAAGAATGAGATCAGGGATACAGGTGGCAGAAATGGGCTTCCTCTGAAGGGTGGTTGGCCTCTCCCTTAGGGATAGGGTGAGGAGTTTAGCCATCCGGGAGGGACTCAGAGTAGAGCCTCTGCTCCTCCACATCGAAAGGAGTCAGTTGAGGTGGTTCAGGCATCTGATAAGGATGCCTTCTGGGCACCTCCTGGGTGAGGTGTTCTGGGAATGTCCCACTAGGAGGAGTCCCCATTGCAGACCCAGGACACGCTGGAGAGATTATATCTCTCCGTTGGCCTGGGAACACCTTGGTGTTCCCCCGGACAAGCTGGAGGAGCTGGCTGGGGAGAGGGAGGTATGGGCTTCTCTGCTTAGGCTGCTACCCCCTAGTGATGTGTCGGTCGCGAACGAAATGGCTCTTAGAGCCGACTCTTTGAAGTGAACGACCCGAGCCGGCTTCTTATTGGGAGCCGTGGGTTTTTTTATTTTCTTTCTCTCACCCTGTCTCTTGCACTTTTTTTCCGCTTCACTCCGCACGCGAGCCTTGTGCTTTGCGCTGGGAGGAGGGGGGAGAGGCGGTAGTTACAGTCGCAGTAGCACAGGAAAAGAGCAGGAGGGAAAGAGAGAAAAAGAGAGCCAGGGACAACAACGTCACATTAGAAAGGTATAGTAATCATCCACAACTATTTTCAGTTGCGGATGATAAAGGATTCAGAAAGTTTATTCATGCAGGCCCACATGACAGAGAATGTGCATCTTCTTTTTGTTTTCATATTTTTTCATATGTATATTTAATTGTGTTGTGGTTTGCAGTGTTTTGTGTTGTTTCACTTTAAATTTGTGTAAAAGGAAAATGCTGAAAATTTAAATAGTTAAAAGCTGAAATGTAAACAGTTGGTTTTTGTATTATATGATTTATTTATTACATTTTATGTGGAGTGAATAAATAAAAGTATATTTACGGTGGCCCCCAGAGACAAAGCATGTACGAACTCCAAAACACGTACAAACTCCGAAGCACGTACAAACCCCGAAGCACGTACAAACTCCATAGTACGTACAAACTCCATAGCACGTACAAACTCCGAAGCACGTACAAACTCCGAAGCACATACAAACTCCAAAACACGTAAAAACTCTGAAGCACTTATGTTGTATGGTGTTAGTTCAGCAGGCATTATACACACACACACACACACACACAGGCAGGAACAGAGGATCACCGGAGATAACTCCTTTCTTTATTTTTCTTTGTTTTCTTCTTCTTTTTCCAAATACCACAACCAGAACAACATACTCACTAGCGCCCTCTAGTGCTTCTGGTAAATGCATCTACAGAACAAATGCAATAATGTGTGGACACAACATCTCCCTCTTTGAACAAGGATTTCTTATGTGAACCTGACTTCATCATTCTGATGTATGTCACCTAATACACGTTTAACATATTTCACATTACTCAGTGACATTCACCTTCCTATAACAAAGTCTTGGGTCCAGCAAGGTGGGTTCCTCATCCTGGTGGGCCTAAGCCTACTATCAGACTCAGAGTTAGATGCTAGATCAGTTCCTGGTTTATGACAGTCCATTGTTGTGTCAGAATCAGTACCTGTGTTCAGCTCTGACAGAGCCGATAAGTGTGAGGTGTTCCAGATCCGTCCGTCATCCAGCAAATAAGTAAATAAGTGTTTGGTCCTTTCCTTGTCATGACAGTCCTTGGTTTAGAAAACTTTAACTCGCCTTTCTTTACCTTCCACGGCTTCCTAACCCGTACCTTGTCACCAGGCTGAAAGTTGGATGGATTGGCGTGTCTGCGAGCATCAGTGTATTCTTTCATTTTCATTTGCTTATTCTTAACTATTTCACACATGGTATGCCTCTCTGTCTGAGGAACAGGCATATCCATTACCTGTAACTTTGTTCTCATTCGTCGTCCATGGAGCAGTTCTGAAGGGAAAACTCCAGTTGTTGAATGAGGGTTTGCTCTGTAGTCCATCAGGTAAGTTCTCAGGAACGATTTCCAGGGTTGTCCTTGAATCAAGGCAGTCTGTAGGCAGTCTTTTGAATCTCTCAACTTCCCCATTAGCTCTTGGGTAATACACTGAGGATCTCAGGTGTTGGATTCCCCTGCTTTTAAGGAAGTCAGCGAACTCAGCAGAGAGAAATTGAGAGCCATTGTCACTTATCAATGTCTTTGGATTCCCTTCACGAGAGAAAACTACAGAAAGGAACTGAATGATAGTACCTGCATCAGCTCAGGAAGAAAAAGCTACTTCAGGCCACTTACTAAAGTAGTCTACCAATGTGATGGCAAATCTACAGTCAGAAGGGGCTATTTCAAAAGGGCCTATGATGTCCACGGACACCTTTCCCCAAGCAGCAGCTGGTAAAGGAATGGGTTGAAGTGGAGAATCATGGGTGATAGTGGACTTGTCATTCTGTCTGCACGTTGCACAGTTCTTTATCAGTGTCTCTATGTGACAATCCATTTTGGGCCACCAGTACAATTCCCTCAGGTGTTGTTTGGTACGTACAATGCCTTGGTGAGTTTCATGAGCTATATCAGCGAGTTTTTTCTGCAACGACTCAGGGACTAGCAAGCGGTGTGTACCTCTGACGATGCACTCGTTCAAGACCGCGAGTTCATGGTAGATTGGGAAGTGCGGCTGTAAGTCAGGTTCCAGTGACATCTTCCTTGTAGGCCAGCCTTTCTGTATCTGCACACGGAGCTTTGTGAACACTGGACAGGCTTTGCACCCTGACTGGAAGTCATCCTCAGACACAGCACTCAGATCAGTGAGGATGGCTGCAACTTACTCCACATCCTCTGCACATGCCATGTCTGTCTCGGGAAGTGGGAGCCTAGAAAAATAGTCAGCAACATGGTTCAATGACCCAGTTCTATATTCCACTTCATAGTCAAACTCCAACAGGCGAGCTGACCATCTGGCTATGCGTAGACTGG